AGCAGGCAAACCAGGTCGAGGGTACGGGAATGAAGATTTTCGGAAAGAAAAATAAAAAGGAGGAGGAGGTATCTGGGCGGCCCGGAAAGGTTCCGAGACATAAGAGGACATGGTCAATGTCTTCTGCGAGCTCAGTGGGGGGTGGCAGATCACAAGAGGAAGACACAAATGCGAAATTGGCAAGTCTACAGGACATGTTTACCAGCACTCGGGCCGTCAGCGTCCTATACTTACGTGGGAGCGATCTGGACGACCCGGATATCAACCCTGTGCACCTACCGGGTGAGGCTCCTGAATTGGCAGATGATATCTGGGCCCGAAGAAGGTCGAGCGTTGCTACGACGAACACTACAACATCATCGTTTGTGTCGCCAACTCCGAGCTCTGCGTCGTTGTCAAGTCAGCATGGCGATGGGTTTAGCTCGCCAGAGAGGCGGGAATGGGAGAGGGGCTTCCAGCCTCTACCACCTCCTCAGCAGAATAACATTGGCTCAGAGATTCCAATTCGTGTAAAGACAAGTAACGATACTGGTATGCTTTCGGGATGGATCGAAGCGATTGGGATTGATTCCACTTATATCCCCCCCGCAGAAAAAGCAAGCAAAGCTGGTATGCATACTCATGAAGTGATTTCCTTTTCAATTCACTAACATCTCTAGTCATGTCAATCTACATTCTTCCCACGGCCCTTGGATCCCCACAGAATGGCCAAATATACCGCGCAGTCTATCTCCAAGCCCGAACCGCGCAATGCTTAACCTCTAGTATCGCTGCTAAATGTGGCATCGACCCTGCCACTGTTCTACGCACCGTTCACATGAGCAGTCGTGGCCTCAGTATCTTTGTGGACGACGAATTTGTACGTGAAATGGCAGAGGGACAAGACATGAAAGTCCAGGCCGTCGAGATTCGTGAGGAGTCACCCTTTGCATCCCCACCACAGGAGTGGGCGAACAGTCCCGAGGAATCCCAGGATGGAGAAGGGAACTTGAAGAATGGTGCACCGCACGGGTGGGAGTTGAGACTGCTTTACTAGTGGAGTATCTATGATCGATTATTTCCCTGTCTTTTTAACCTGTACTTTTCTTTATTTGATTTGGCGAAATTTGTGAATTTATACATATATATACCCTTGTGGTGGGCTTGGTTTTTGTTTTTGTTTTCTGCTAAAAATTGGACCTGGATCGGATCGGACTGGACCTTGGTTGATGGGAGGGAGGTTCTTTGTGCGTTTTCTTATTATATCTGTTGGGTTTATTTGTTTTGGTAAAGATACGGGCGTCTTCTCCCCATGCGTTTTGTGATTTTGTTTTATCTTTTATTTCTTCCTTGTATACGTGGGATGAATCTTTTATTGTCTCCTTTTCATTACGACCGTTAAAGAACTGAAAAAATATGGGAAGGATATCTGTTTTCATTTCCAGTGCATTTTGCTTATTTTTGTTTGTTTCTTTTCTCTGCTCTCGATTTACGTTGTGGTTGCGTCTACCTAGCGGATGCCCTACAGTTTTCGGCAGACGAGATGATGGAAGGTGCAATTGCAATGTTGCGGTTTGTTTATTTTATATATCCCTTTGGTTACTAGTTTTTGTTGGGGGGCCGGGCCGGTGGTGGGTGAGCTGATCAAGTGTCTTACGATATGACTGCATGAATTAAGGTTACGGTTTTTTGTTTTGTTTTGGTTTTATGAAGAGGCAGGAGCAGAGGAGGATGGGTTTCTTACGTAGTTATCGTCTCAATGTTAGTCTTTGGCGGCGGGCGGGCGGGCGGGATGGGGCTACACTCAAATTGTTTTCCATATGAAATGATTGTATCCTGGAATAATAATATTTATGAGTCTACTAAATATTTCAACATATTTCGGAAGTGAATATTGGCGTACATGGGGTGAGGTAAGAGCAAGGAGGTAAAATCTGAAATATAAATGATAGAAGTGGAACTGTTGTAGATAATTCCCACATAATAGATCGACCTTGACGGCGATCAGCCATCGTAGGGATTAGATAAATGTATGCCTTGCTCTTAATTTTCGGGGATGTGTTTACACTAACTATAACTGTGCATGGATGGACTAATATTATAGACCGCAAACATTTGACTAATCAGGCTTGAAATCATTACTCATGGGAATTACATGTTTCGCGGGGCATGAGGGTCCTGTGATTTCAAAGTTAACCAATATCGAGGTGTTAACAACGGCAACGGCGTATCAAGAGTTTGCACATATGCCAATGATATACTTGAGCGTTCTCGGAGAAAAAAGGAATTGTTCCGGAACAGCATAATGTATTTCAATCATAGAAATTCACTCGGTTGGCGGGGCACGCTCAGCCTTGCCGAGATGGGTTAGCGCTCGCGGCTCTCAAATTTCTCGAAACCTCAACTCCAACGACGTGCTGCGGTTTCCGCAACATCACCATTGTGAAAGCGACCCCCCGGCCCCAGTCAATTGTCCCCTCCCCTAAGGGATCGTATCCAGAAGCAAGGCAATTTGGAATAAAAACTACAACAATGAAACGCATACGCTGTTCCTCGTCGCTATGTGATCAATTCCTCTCCTCCTCAAGGCAAATAGTGCCCCGCCCTCGAATAACGGTGACGGCAAAGAAACCGCTTATATCACATATCCGCGCACTCTCTACCACCCCAGCACGGTCTCAGCAGCAATATGGGAAGCCCGTCAACCCCTACGAACCAGCACCTGGAGAGCCCCTCCCTCGCGCGCGCGACCCCCTCAACTCCGCAAAACTCGCCGCTCTCCATGCCCGTCTTAGTCTGCATCCAAGTTACCCTATACAGACTCTGGCCCGCGCGCTCATTGACCAGTCTGCCGACCCAATCCGCTTTTATAACAACAGCTCCCTCGCCTACCTCGGGAACTCCCTCCTTGGGTACTATGGTGCTGAGCACTTCATGTGTACATACCCGCGACTCCCTACCCTGGTTCTCAAGTCCGCAATGGCCGCCTTCGTGGGCCCGAGGCCGCTTGCCGCCATTGGGAGAGAATGGGGTGTCGAGACCGCCTTCGAGCCAACCCCAGACGTTGACGCTGGTCTTCTCCAGTTCAAGCGATTGCCTCCCGGGACAGTAGTGAAGGGGCATCTACGCCCTGCCCGCAGCGAGGGTGTCCCGGAGGAGGACGCAATGGCAAACTTTGTCCGCGCTACATTCGCGGGTGTGTATCTCCATGAGGGAGTTGCGGCGAGTAGGCAGTTCTTCCGGCAGCATGTAATGTCGCGGAAGCTAGACGTGGACCAGCTGTTTAACTTCGTGCAGCCGACACGAGAGCTCTCGAGGTTATGTGCGAGGGAGGGACTTACACCGCCAGTTGCGAGACTGATTAGTGAGACGGGTAGGATGTCGAGGAGCCCGGTATTCATAGTAGGCGTATATTCGGGGCAGGAATGCCTTGGGCAGGGACATGGTGCAAGCTTGAACGAGGCTAGGATAAGAGCGGCAGTGAACGCGTTGAAGGGGTGGTATTTGTACAGTCCGGCGAACCCAGTGGATCTTCCAAGCAAGATGGATGTGGACCCTGCGGCGTCTTTTGCGCCGGCTATGATTGATGTGGGCGAAGTTATTGTTTAGAGCGGTGTGGTGTAAGAATCATAGAGGGGTCATTTGTATGCGATGTCCATCTGGACGATGCTTATCCTGTGTATAAAAAAATCTACTTCCTTTTGTTTTTCTCTCTCTACGGCTGGTCGGGTTATACCGGACACGGCAATGGACTAAACAAAGTTAACAGTTAAATAAAAAACGTCGCTTGTTAATATCATCACTATTCGGGCTGCAAACAACTAATGAATTATCAATCGATACATGTATCATCACGGTAAAATGTGGACTAATGCATGCGGTGATGCATAATCATTGACAGTATATGCATAAATCGCTAGCTGGAGGTAATTCGATCATTGACCGCAAGGACTGAAATGTAGCTGAGGAAATTATAAAGGATTTTTTGAACAAGTAAGATAAATAAGCGATGACACCTAACCATTGACCATTGACAATTGACCAATGAGCCCTGAAACCGAAACATAAATTCAGATCCTGCCTCTCAATGACCCTTCTACTTCCATCATCAAAGACACACTTACACGCACACACACATACACACACACACACACACACATATTATTTTAATAAAATGGACGGCTTCATAACATTATATGTATGCATATCACCACCGTCTCAATCTTAAGATCTCCAAAGCTTATAAGGACAGTTAATGTTCAGTGCCTGCATTTGCTTCACTCTCTTCCTCGGAACCCTTCTCTACGAATGGTATAGAGCAGAGTATCATCTACGTTCGAGAGACGGGCTTCCAGATGCTCCTCCAAACAGTGCTCCGTTACCTGTGATATGACTGGCTCTTAGACTGGAACGAGAGGCTTGTGTGATAAGTGAAGATTGGCAAGTTTTTCTTTTTTTTTGTAGTCCGGCTTTATTCTCTGCCGGGCTTCATCTTTACAAAAGCCTCGTAAGACACTTGGCTTATATGTGCGGATTAGTGGATGCGACTAAGTAGGTAGGCAAAAATATTCTGTGTAATGAGAACATATGCTTCTAACACTATGCAAGGAGGCCCTACCACTAGAAAAAGTCTTTCAATGCACTATTGGTGACTTCTCATAATCCGGGTCCAAACTCAACCCCCACACCCTGTATAAGAAGTTCATTCACTTTTAAAATATTTCGAAGAACATACAAGAAATAAATTAACATCCTCTATGTTCAAAACCAATGTTAGCCATAGTCGTAGCCCATGTATATACGAACAGTAAACACCAATTTTCTCTTTTGTACAGTCTCATGGCATCATTCATATCATAGTACGACCATTAGATTTTGGTCTACCTCCCAGAGGATCAACCTAATAAAGTGCTGGACCCAACCAATACAAAAAGGAGAAGAAATACCAGAATATAGTACGGCGTGGAACAGAAAGAACAACAAAGGAGAGTTATCAGTGAAGATATGAAGTGGATGTCGTTTTATTTATAAAGGATCGAGAAGCCATCGACACACTGGGCGCAACTACCGGAAACTCCAGCAATTGAGCGACCTCGTGGGGGTATTAAAGTGCTACTGTTTCGTTTCATTAGATTCTTGGAAGCTCCAGGGCTCGATATTCGAATAATTTGCATACCTAGTTCCCCCATGAGGATTCCCAAATAAAGGGGAGCGGCGACCCAAGCTAGTCAAAATTTCAATGCCGTCGACCCAAGACCCGGCACGAACGCTGAAACCTAAAAGACTTTCCCCCTTTCTAGTGTCCAGCGAGAAATCCGAAATTTCTGTTTTCCGATCATTCTTATCCCCCCTGTGTCCAAACAACTGGCTTGATGAATCCTCGTATACAAACTCCAACCCGTCTAGTGCTGTGCTATGGAAGACCCTAATACTTGTGAGAATCCTCCCTGGAGTCAACGTGTGCAGATAAACTTCTTGCGGCTTAGATCCGTCTGTGTCTGAAAGCCCCAACGAAGAACTTTTATATGCCACCCCATATCCGTTGGGAAGTTGAACCTTCGCCCCTTTCGTTGCAGAAAAATCATCGATAATAGTTTGTCCTTGGCCTGCTGAATAGATCTTGAGTTTCATTACTTTCGATCGACAATCTTGCGGTAGCTTCTCGCGAAGCTCACTTTCGAGTAATTGTACTTCCCGTTCAATTTTTGTTGTGAACTCCAAATGTGCCCGATAGGTATCGTCTGTGTAGATTTCTACCAGAAATATGCCACTACTTGCACTAGCGAACATACCGTTCTCTATGGCATAAATCTGGGGATTATCATGTCCAGCCGTTATTACCGGATCTGTTGGAAGGCGGAAGCATGGGTGGTGTCGTAATCGAAGACAATCAACCCTAATTTCGATCAGTTTCAGTATATCAAGGAGTTACATAACATTTCTAATACCTGGACCAATTGCATTCTTCTTGAGGAAGACATATCCTTGAAAGCAATTAGTTATTTAACAGTGAAATATGGTGTTAGGTAGTATACCTTATGCCAGCAGATTTTGTTTTGAACGAATACGGTTCCTGAAACAATAATAAGTTATACGTACTATCGGACGAGGGATGTTTGATGTTCTCATAGGGGACGTTCAAACCTTGGTTGTAAATGTTCTATTTATGCGATCAAGTTCACGAGGCTGGACGGGCGGCTGCGGGCTTATAAAAGCCTCTATCATGTTACCCATTGCGGATGTAGCTGCTTCCCTATCCTCCTCATATCTATAAGCTGTTTATTCTTGGGTTATTATTGATAAGAGTCCAGTGTTACCCACCAAAAGCTCCCGAGATCGGTCGTTTCATTTACGCTAGTAGAATTACCTTCGATGCGTGTGCAGTCCGTGAACTGGTCATTCCTGTGAGTTTCTTCAAAAGATAAAAGGAAAAATCAAAAGGTGGATTTTATGATACTTACTGCCGGAACAACCTCTTCAAGGCAGGAAGGGAATGTATACAGCGAACGAGTCCCACACACCCCGACCTCGTTACTTAGTGCCGAATGATTGATCAATCCTTCGATTCTCAGATCATCTTTGGCGTCGAACATCAGGACAGCAACATGCCGCTTTGAATTTACGGACAGATTTTGAAAGTATTGAAAATATTTATCAACTGCAGCCGATGCAATATCCAAGAGGGCAGCACCGTCTCGGGCAGTCTCTAAACTTTGAATTTCTAGAGCCGATTCAAGTTCAGCATATGTTCCAATTTGAGCTTCGGTTAGCACAAACTCACCAGCTACTGTCTTTTCTGATCGTATGACATGTACTTTTGCGATGCTATGCATTACGCCATTTTCTTTGTTTGACAGTGAATCCTCGGCCCATTCTTCCTCTAATCGGAAACATCTTCGTCCTATAATTAAGGATCAGTAGATTTCAGATCGGTTTGTGCATTGAGACGACAAACCTAGTCTGTTTCTATACATCTGCTCTCCTGTAAAAGCTTGGGCAAGGTAGCTTAATAGAGATCATGTTAGAATTTTTATTGAGTATTAAACTTAAATTCATGGTAAATGATTAACATACGCTGCCATTCTAAGCTTCCGCTTCGCCATTCGGATATCATTTCCCTCCCGCTGCTTCCGGTCACTTTGGCATTCATACTCGCCCGGTGAATCTTTAGCTAGAACTATGGCCAGATACAATGGCGGGGAAGATGTGAGAGGCAAAAAATTGACGACTATGCTTGAGCTAGTACAGGGAATCTTTGCCCCTGTGAAGTCAAAACGTAGTCTGTTTGGACCAGGGTCAAGATGTACCAAAACCTTGAAGTATCCACAATTAACTGGCCATTGAGTCGGTGGGTATCCTTCCAAATGATGATGCACAGTTATCATTCCGTCACATGGGCGTTCAGGTAGCCCAACCTGTCCAAATACAAGCAAGACACTCTGATGCACCCATTGGTTCTCTTGGACCGAAAGAAAGCGAGGTGCAAATGGCGAAATAGGAAGTGACGAAGATCTGGCAACTCCACTACTCCCCTTTTCTTGAGTATTAGCATATATAACTATAGTAGCTTAAATATCGACTGGTATGGGGACGAACAAAGCTGGGCACATGGCTCGAATTTATGAGCTCCGATGTAGGTCTTGGTATACGAGGTCGTCGCTCAGGAGATGTGCGATCGGTAAGATTCAGTGAGCTGCTCGACTGCGTCCTGAAAACTCCACTGCCGGAATTCTCCTCCGGGACTGAAGACGAGGAAGCTGTTTTAAGAGAAGACTCCTCGGAACTGGATTTGGAAGCCATATTGGTCCGAGATTTCCGCAATCCTGGAATTTTTATTTTGGCCATCTTCTCCGCAAAGCGGGAGGGATTTGGGGCGGATTTCGACTGGGCAGGCATCGTGTATTAATGCGCAAGACTTTGAAAGTAGAAGTGGAAATAACTGAATATTATAAGATAGAGGGTAGCGAGGCGCAATTGACAACAAGACACCTCGTAGGCAAGGCCGACAACTCAACCCAATCAACTCAACACCGTTGTAGCGGGGGTTTTGGGGTAAAACAAACTGAAAGAAGTGAATAAAAAAACAAGAAAAGGCTCAAGTGAACCTGGCAATCGTGATGGCTGAGATTTTTTTGTAGCAATGAGGATGCTAGCGAGTAAGCAAAAGCAAGCCCCTTTGAGGAATGGGTTGGCTGGTAGATTGTGGCGGGGAGGTCCAACAGCTAAAACAAGAAATCAAAGGGCGCGTAGATGAGCGAGTGAATGTCCCATGAGTTAGGGGGGGAGTAGTGAGCTTTCAAGTGTGCTTTCAAGTTAAACCTTAAGAGAATTGAGATGGAGGAAAGGTTTTAAGAATAACAGATGGCAGGTGGCCTCCTAGCTATTTTTCCAGCGCTATGTGAACATCTCCGCTCCTAGCAGTTACGTAGACCACCACCCAGCAATATTGCAATCCATATCTCTGGGCTGCAATATGTACTGGTCCCGAGGGAAAAGGGAAATGAGGCCTCAGCTTCCGGGGTCGGGATCGGGGAGCCTACTTGAGGCGGAATGAGACTGGCGATTATCAGTTACCCATATCAGGTCCCGAAGGTGACCAATGTTTTCCGTATCAAGCTACTTCAGAAGGCCTGTTAGCTTGCTTAAGAAGTCGCTGCAGCATATGTACCAGTCGTTGGTGGAGGTTTAGACATTTCCCTCTGCCCTACGCGCGAGATTGCTTGCGGAGCCTCCACGCGCGCCAAAGTTACGTCACCGCGGGAGGAACCCTGTCGGGCCAGCTTGAAATAGTATGCCCCGATTCGAGATGTAAATAAAACAATCGAATTGAGAAGCTGGGTGTAAACACAGCATGATAGGTCTTGGCTATTTTATGTTGCTGCGCAGCCTTGGGCTGAGAGGCTAGACTTAGCGATAATAAACTTCTCACTCATACTTTCCCGCTATCTACTTTGGAATTTGTTTATCACCGCCTAGCAACAGCATCGGAATATCTAATGGTATTATCTGTATTTCCCCGCAGGACCAAATACTAAATAAATATACTTGGTTAAGGAAAGAAGGAATAAGAGTATAGGGGGCATGTACAGCAGAGATATTTAGAGTGAGTTCGAGGAAAAAAAGGAAGTAAAAAGATACTAGCATTCCTCTCGTTCTTGCCAGCTCATCCTATCGATATATCATCTCATTGTCTGTATTCCGAACAACTCGCACCACCAGTCAAGAGTCGCAGGAGGTTGGTACATATCAAACTCATCCAACAAACCGGTCACTGACCCCTCGCCGTTCCCGCCCGCCTCCTTAAAATTTCTCCGCCCTTGCAGGGTTTAGCGTTCCTTGCCGACGGGTTACGATCCAGGAGTGCATACTATTTCTGTTCTCACCATAGTCTGTCCCTTTACTTCAAGAACACTTCCCTCATTGTCGTTTGATGGAAAAAATGTCTTCGTCTACTGCTTCAAAGACCTGGACGGAAAAGCAAACCAAGGAGGTAATGAGGAAGGTTATTAGGCGTGCGGAAGTATCGAGGGTGAGTAACCCACAACGCAACCGCCTTGACAATGCTCACTTGGCCGCTTTTTATTTTTTTCGAGAACCCTCGCTAACGCTCATACTTCTCAGATTGCCCGATTACTACAGCACCGCCTTGCACTTGCCAACTTCAAGACAAAGAAAGGTTGGGAAAACTTGACCCTAGACACCATCGAACCCAAGATTGAGGAGGATTTGAAGCGAAAACGTCAACGGCCATCATCAGGAGACAAGTCACCATCACCAGGTGCTTCACTTTTTAGTGAAAGTGAGCTCGAGTGGTTAAGGAAAAATAAGCCGATAAACGGACAACCCCATAAACGACGGGGGAGCCAATCGTCTGATATCGGACCTCTTCCCAATTTCCGGAACTCAAAGAAGCGTGGGCGGCCTTCAACTTCCACGGACTTCCAGCAACCACCCTCCAAGCGCCGGCAATCGTGGAGGGACCACAACCGCACAGTCCAATCTTCCCCAGGATACCGATACGGTAATGAGGAGAGAGACAAAGATGACTATGAATTCCAGCCCGCGTTTCACTCAAGCCCTCCCCGCACCCCGCCCCGGCGGATTGCAAAACCAGGGACTAAGCAAGGTGGGGAGGTTGGTGCCGATCTTTTGATATACCTCGCCACGTCCCCGTCCCCGGCTGGTGCCATGTCCAAGACAAACATCGCTCCAACCACCCCACCACCATCCTTTGCTCTTCCATCCTCTGTTATGAACACCCCAGGAGGAGGTCCCCCCCGGACTCCCCAGACAGGTTTCAATTTTGCGGATTTCGTCAATATCACCCCTTCACCCGCTCAATGCGCTTTCGGCTCTGTTGTTGCAGGACGAGGTACTCCTGTAAAAGGACGAGGCACTCCTATTGCTGCTGCTCGTCGACGTCTGAATTTTGATCAGCTTGCCCCGCCAACAGGTTCCCCTTCAGTTCCGTCTGGAGGCACGAGACATACCGGTTTAGGCATGGAGTTGGGCGGCGAACTTGTGTCGTGAGATGAAAAAAGAATTAAAGAATTTATGCGGTGTATATTTGCTTTTTGTGGGGTTTTTATGCGGGTGTTTCGGTTCTGTGGGTTACATTTTAGGGAAGGTATATTCTTTTGTTTTAACTTACACTTATTTGTCTTTTGTTTTACCTTCATAGGCCTTGAAGGATTTGTTCTGCGGTGTAAGATATCCCCTCTGTTTTATTTTTCATTTTCGTATTGCTCTGATATGGTTTGTGGAAATTTAAAGGAGTGGGTTATTCACATTATTAGTATTTTTAACGACGACAAAACAAAGAGGAGGATATATATTATTTTCTGAAATGATAATGCAAAAGTCAATCTCAAGATAGGGTGCTAAACGCGTACCAATAACCAAACGCGAGATCTCTTGGCAGCTTTAACACGAGGTCATTCTATTTCAAGCAAAAGGTGTGGTGGACTAGCTGCGGGTGTGTGGATCCGCTCTGTACGGTTCCTGATTTCTGCACACGAATCATACTGTCAGCGCCGCTTTGTCGGTTCATCAAATGTTGATACACCCCTGCAACATGTTCGGGCAGTGTTTCAATTTGTATCAACACACTCGCTCCTTTCCCTTTTTGCCTCTTCTCAGGCACTCCAAGCACTGATAACCAGAGGTTAACCTGGAAGGGTAATCTCGGGTGATAAGGATGGTTTTAAGGGAATAACCAGTAAAGGGCATGACTGAGACGTTTGACACTATGGGAAATGAGGTTAGGATCGAGGTGATCCTGAGATGTGGAAGAAGGATTTTAATATGTATTTGTTCCCTACGAGAACAGCTTTTCAAGTTTAGTAACTGTATGTAGAGAGCGTAGGTAGGTACATATGTAGTTACATGTATGTATTGCAGCTGATTTGAATGTATGCGGTTAGCCGGCTTGTCGGAATAGAGTTGAAGTGAGGAAGGAGATTACAGGTAACAGAGGTGTGGGCTGCGATCCCCTGCGCGGCACGTCCACCCGCACAGCCTCTGTCAAAGGAGAGCTGGGCGTTGGGGGTAACAACTCCGGAAAGTCGCCGCTTTTGCAAATTTTGCTCGCCGCTCACTTCTATTTTCTGCCATTCTCGCATACATATCGTTCAACCCTGGTCCGGTGCACCCCCTTCCTGTATTTCGTAGAGAGCGAGTTTGAGAACAGAGAGGAAAAGAAGAAGTGATTTCCATAACCCCCAATACCATCATCATCATTCATCGTCAGTTCTCAACACAACATATCACACTCGTTTTGTTTGTGAAGAAGTTTTGGCAGTAGTCATCATACACACTCGTTGTCAGCTTTGTTTGTGGGTAAAACACCGGCCGTTCGTTCGCAGTCTGTGTTCTCCTGTCCGTTTTGGTGTATTAGGCGGGAACCTTAGACGGCCTCATCCGAGTCTCTGACAGCAGTAGAAGCATCCTTTCCCTTTCCCTCTTTTTTTCCCTCTTCACTCTTCACGCTCTTTGCTGTCTGTCTCCACGTTCAACCCCAGTCTGTCCTTTCTATCTGTTTCTTCGCTCTTTTTCCCTGAACCTGAACTCTTATTCCCCCTCAGTTTTCTTTTTCGTATTATTACTATTACTCCTCCTGACCCGACTTGATCCTCTCCTCCCATATCCTCCCTTTCGCTCGTTCTTGTGTATTGTACACCACATACACACATACATAGTTGTCCCTTTGCTTTCAACTGTCCCTCGTCTTGCCCCTCCCTCAACACAGGGGAAGTGGAGGAGCCGCTCGCTATAGTCGTCGTCAGCTAGCCGTTCCTGCGTCGCGCTGCTTCGCATCCGATCGTTTACAGTTGACGAGTGAATGAACCCTTGCTGAGCCTTATTTGGTTTGTCATCCTAGTCCTCAGTCTATTCTATCTCTTTCCCCCTGAGTTCACCGTTTACCCTCTTCTCCACATCTTTACAATTACTCTTTGCCTCTTTATTTTTTTTATTTTTGTTACTATTGCTGCTGCCCCTCCTCATTCCCTTTAGTGCTAACCGACGGGGTGGCCAGCAACAGCATATCATCTAGCCGTTCCGGCTCCCTCACACTATCTCAAGCGGTCGCATTACTCTACACTCTGCGTTCACCATCATCACCACCACCACCACTACCACCAACTACTACATATCTCCTACACAATGAAGCACCTATCAACATTGGTGCTTGCTGCTCTTAGCGGGTATTTTCAGCTGGCTCTCGGTGCAGATGCCACATACTACGCCTGTTATAGCAACCAAGGGAGTTTGGTAGTCAAGGGGTCGGACGACTTCCAGTCGAGGGGTGCATGTCGAGTAACATGTGTAGACGACGCGAAAGCCGCTGGTGGTCCGGGATACTCGGTACAGGCAATGACGAACGAAACAATTTGCTTGTGCTCACAAACACTTCCCAACGATATTTATAAAGTTGACGACAGCGACTGCAAACAAACCTGTCCTGGATATAAAACAGAAACATGTAGGAACACATATTCATTACACAATTAGTACTTTTCGAATGTTGGCTCACGCGTTATGTAGGTGGTACTCGCTTGGGCACATATTTCTCAGTGTACCTGACAGGTTTGGAAGATGGCACTCCTGATGAGGACCCAGCGCCTTCATCATCTTCATCCGCTGCTACAAGCACATCAACCGGTTAGTGACATGGGCCAATTCGAAGGGCCCTTATACTGATATACTACTTAGAATCTGCTTCATCAACTTCATCTACGGCAGCAGCATCAACTACCGCAGCGCCCGTTACATCGCCTTCCGCTACCGCTACATCCGAACCTTCAAAATCAGTCAATACCGCAGGTGTTGCCGCTGGAGTAGTCGTTGGAGTGCTTGTAGTTGCTGCTATTGGCTTTGGGGCTTTCTTCCTGATGAAGAAGCGAAGAAGAGAGAGGGTTGAGGAGGAATACAGGAAATCTGCAGCAGCAAGGGAGTTTGCAAGGAAGCCCGAACAGGATCATCGGCTGGATCCCGTAATGATTCAAAGGAGGGACAGTGTCGGAAGCATTGCAGATAACCAGGACTATTCTCGAAGGATTCTTAAGGTGAGTCTATCGTTCTCCAAAATTGGGCACTTAAATCCAAGCATTTTTTTATTTTTTATTTTTTTTTACTAATACGCTTGATACAGGTTACAAACCCAGATGGAAATTAGAGAAATGATCAGTCTAAGGTTATTATTTATTTGAGGTCTAGGAAAGGCTAAATCGTTGGGTTTTTTTCTTCTGTAGTTCCTATCTGTAGTTCTTCCCCTGCTATTCTATCCATGTCATCCTTTTTGTTCTCCCGGATCCAGTTTTATTCTGTAGTCAGCTGTAAATGGCAATTGGTGGGTTTTGCGGGATAAATCGTTCTAGGATGATGGTTTTTATTTTTGTTTCTTATATATCATTTTCCTTTATTTATTTCTATTGATATCAGGTGGGCATGGTTGACAAAGGGGACATCGGTGGATCCTGTTATAAGCACTTTTATTTTATCACATTTCTTGCATTCCTTTTGTGACCCTATTTTGTTTCATTTTTTGGTCTATCTTATCGTTCGTTTTTCCCCTTGTGATTCCCTTTTTTTTTTTTTTTTTTTTTTTTTTCAGCCATCGTTTATTCCTCATTTCACGTGCATTATTAGAGCACCTCTCTTTGCCGTCTTCCATCTGTATAACCCGCAACTTCCTTTTCTTCTCACGATAGTCTTTTGTATTTATATGGATATGGATTGAGGCAGTTGGGGGGGCAAGGGTGGGACATATTACTCAAGAAGAGCTTGGGAGAAAGGTGGTTAATTGGGGTTTGCTACTACTAACTGATCGATTGCTTAAACTTTACTTCTATCTCACCATTACCCTTGCCATGCATTGCTATTTATTTGAATCGATTATTAGTCAAGGTGATATTGGTGGCCGGAGTGGCAGTTGAAAGGGCCCGGGAGCAGGTCCCTTTCCCCTCGTTTGCCGGCCTCGTAGGAGTGACCTTGCAAACAATTCCCCGCGTAGCTCATAGCGCGCGAACGCCAGCGCTAACATAAAGAACCTCCTTACTACATACATGTAAGTTTTGGCAATAAAGTTATTTTCGAACCAGTCACTACTAAACTTTAAATTATCTGTTTCCCTGATCATGTTCCATCACTCACCCCAGCTATATGGCGTCGACTTTCGCACCTACATGTATCCCCCTTCTTTGCTACATTGATTGTAAGTGTGACCAGCACGATATCTTGATAGAATACTTGCATAGAACGAGAGGTTTGCTGATTCTTGTAATCATTACTCTTGTAAAATAAGCGCCTGAAGATCTCCGTTCACCTTTATTCTACAATGAAACCTTCTATTCAAACACTCCCGTCATGTATTGAGGGGGTTTCCCTAGTTCTTGTTTAGTACTAGAATGACGACACATCAGTAAGGGCCTATGATAGGAGTGCATGCATGTAGTTATCCCATGGCACAGTCCTAGAAAATTCCAGAACGATAACGCCAGAAAAGAAGACAGGAACGCGTGGCGCCTTCTGGGCTATCGCCCTTGCGTCCCCATAGCTGCCATGTTTAATTGGAATGAATAGGTTATAATTGCAACGGTCCCAACGTTAGGCCAGATATATTTATCAAATCGTGTCAATGATCTCACAGACCGAAAAGAGTAACCTGTCTCTTTTGAGCGGTTATGACAGTGAATCCCAACATAACTAACCCAACCCTGCATGTAGTTTTATAAAATCGACTCGTTTTTATAAGAGTGCATCTGATATCCAGGCGAGCATTGCGGGTAAATATTATGATAAATTGTCTAATGCTTCAAATTGGCCATTTACAACCACACCGAGTCACTCGTATTTGAACCCTAACCCCGATCTAGCCAAGGACTGATTGATTGATTGATTGATTACTTCATTAATTGTATAATGCAACCCGAATAGCCAAGGACGATATAGGTACATACTGTACTTATATCATGTAGCAAACTTGCTAAGTATACTAGCAAAGATGCAGAGCCCTCGGGTCACGTACAGGT